GGCTAGGGACCGGCTAGGGGCCAGGTAGGGTTCGGCTAGGACAGGCGAGGGGCCGGCTAGGGGCCGGCTAGGGCAAGCGAGGGGCCGGCTAGGGGCGCGAGGGGCCAGCTAGGGGCTGGTTAGGGGCGCGAGAGGCCGGCTAAGGGCCGGCTAGGGGCCGGCTAAGGGCCGGCTAGGACAGGCGAGGGGCCGGATAGGGGCCGGCTAGGGCAGGCGAGGGTGCCGGTAGGGGCGTTAGGGGCCAGCTGGGGCACGAGGGGGGCCGTAGGGCGTGATGGGCCGTAGGGGGCGCGAGGGGCCGGCTAGGGGCGCGAGGGGCCGTTGGGGCGCAAGGGGCCGACTAGGGGCGCGAGGGACCGTAGGGGCGCGCTGGGCCAGGTAGGGGCGCAAGGGGCTGTAGGGGGCGCGAGGGGCCATGAGGGACCGGCTAGGGGCCGACGAGGGGCGCGAGGCTCCGACGAGGAGCACGAGGGGCCATGAGGGACCGGCGAGGGGGCGCGAGGGGCCGACGAGGGGCGCGAGGGGCCGACGAGGGGGGGCGCGAGGGGTTGACGAGGGGCGCGAGGGGCCGACGAGGGGCGCGAGGGGCTGACGAGGGGCACGAGGGGCACGAGGGGCGCGAGGGGCGCGAGGGGCCGGCTAGGAGGCTAGCGAGGCGCAGTAGGCTAGGGCGCGGGGTGGAAGCGGGTGGGGAAGGGGACCTACCTACTCGTGATACCATGTTAAAAGCTAAAGGATGAATTATTAGAATAAAGAGAATACAAGGAAGATATAGAGTTGGGACGTACTCTCTAAGAAACCATCATGTCTAGCCTATAACTTCTACATATAAGGCTGCGGTCTGAAGTTTGGCCGAGTTGAAGTTTGGCCGACCGACTCGCCACGTCAGCGAAAGTTTGGCCAAAGTTTGAGGTTTTGGTTGGCAAAAGTTGAGGTAGGTGAACTTTGGCCAACCTATCTGAAAAAAACTAGGCGACCAGGCAGCGACAATTTGCAAACGGAACCCATTCGCGCCAAATCAAATCGTCTGGCGAGTCGCTGAATGGAATGCGAGAGAGCACAGTTTTGGTCGTACATTACTGCGACAACTGACGGCCCGCTTGTTTTTGCACAAGTTTCGTTGCCTTCCAAAATTTGGCATTGAAAGCCTGCATCGAAGCGCACAGCAACAAAAGGCACCGCGAGATGGTGGACCAACAGCAACACAAGCACAGAGCAGCGTGTGCCTTGCGGATACAAATATGTGACCCGAATCTCTTCAAAATCACTACTCAACACACCCACAGAACAAACCGCGTCCGCCGTCATAACGAGGCATGGCTCCCAAGCATATGCACAACACTAGTAAGCGCAAGTCCAAGGAGGTACATGTCGACGTGCCCCGTCGGCCGCCCCCCATGATTCGTTACCTCGAAGACTTGGAGAAGCGTGGCATCAGTCGCATTCGGCTCATCAGCTTGACGCGATCTCCAGTGCGGAAGGAGTCGTCATCCGCCAACGGGCCAGCCTCTTCAGCCAGCGACCAGCCGGCCGACGAGGACTGTTACGCCAGCCTGGATGCTCCAGACGCTGCCGACGACGTGGGCACCGATGACGGAAGCTACGGCGTCTACGACGCTGTGAATGCGGCCGATGATTTCGACGACGCGACTGCTGATGACTCCGACAAACTCCAAGATCGGTCGGACCGGAAATGCAAGAGCACCGCCATGGGAGCGGACCTGAGAAAAAAATACTGGCGCAAAGGTGAGCTTACCAAGCTCGCTGCGGCGATGTGGGCAGCGAAAGAGGATTTTGTCAAGCTGAAAGGGAAGCAAGGTGGACAACCATGGGAGAAACTGCATCTAGTCATCAAGCACGCTAATCCAGAATGGAACTGCCCAATTGTCGCGATGCAAAAAAAAATGGAAGTATCTTTCAAAGCGGATGGAGGATATCGAGGTAGCCGACGCGAAATCCGGCAGAAACCCCATGCCTAAGCCCGAGTGGTATCCCTACGTGTGGAACTACTGGTGGTCGACTCGTGCGCCCGACCCACATGTCGTCTACGAGGGTGGGGCAAGGACGGAGAATGCGGGACCTACAAGCTCACGTGCACCACGCGCTGCACAGGAGGCGACGACACAAGGGATAGCCGCACAGGCGCCAACCGAAGGGGGTGAGTAGAGTTAGTAACTGTATCACTTACTAAACATTATTTCAACCGCAAATGTTGTGTCTACGGCCATTGCAAATCAGTACAGCCTGTGCCTTTGAAACATGCTCCCATCTCCGCCCCCCCCCCCCCCCCAGACACGGACGGCTCGCCCGCCCACATTCCAGCAAAGAAAAAGGGCGTCGAATGACCCTCCCATTCCGGACACGTTCTAGTCGCGGACACGATGACCCGACTCATGCATGAGCGGGCTGAACGTCAGGAGGTCGCATTCGGCCGCCTCGTCGACGTCCTGGAGCGACTCGTGCCACAGCCTGCTTACACCAACTCGCCCTCACTGCGGCCATGCGCGACCGCGAGAATCCCCAGCGCATCCCCGTCACCTGGTAGCCGCGGGACGGCTAGCCACAGCTCTCCGCCCTGCCCAGAGTCTACGGTGCACCACGGCCCACCCATGCCGCCGTGGTACACTGCGTCCGTGCACCAAGTCCCCGTGCGCACGACGGGGTACGAGTCAGTACCCGCGGGCCCAACCCAGGCGACTGTCGTGTTGGGCCCTGACGGGCATTGGTACTTCAGCGCCCCTCCGTTTGATGGTCGCGCTCCTCATGCCGCCTGAGCCACGCCGCGTGGGCGTGCATGCTGAAGTCACGACGCCGTGCAACAAGCGCTTCCCCCGTGGTGGGGGTCGCGGGAGGCCATACGTACGACTGCATCTCCGGCAGCTCCCACCACCGATTAAAGTTCCGCGTCGTCCCGTCTTGCGACCACCCTCTCGACCGCTTTCGGCAAGCCGCTTGACCCTCTATCATGTTATGGAGCACCACTGCGCATCCCGCCTTAGCACACACCCTCCACAGTCGGGCCCCATGGCAGGACCGGAAAATTCGCCATCTTCCTTTGAACAAGCCTATGGCTCTCTCGACGGCCATGCGTGTGGCAGAGTGCACGTAGTTGTAACTCTGTTCCCATCCGCTTAGGATCCGTTCTTTGCTTGCATGGATGGGTACAAGGCAGAAATCTTTTAAAGGGTAGGCAGCATCTCCTAGGACGTGGTATGGTGCAATGTCTCCCCTCTCCATCCGGTTGAATAAAGCACACTTGGAAAACACTCGGGCGTCATGAGCCGAGCCCGGCCACCCCACAACGTAATCCCATATTCTACAGCACGCATCAACCGTTAATTGCAACTGCACCGAGTACATTTGTTTCCGACAGTAATACTTGGAACGGTAGTTGTTAATGCCTTTCACCTGCAGGTGGGTCCCGTCGACCGCACCAATGACGTTCGGGAGACCGCGCGCCTTGCGGAACTCGGTGGCCATCTCGGCCATGTCGTTACGTGTGGGGAAACGCACCCATGTCTCCTTGTAGCGTTTTGGGAAGGAGAGGAGGAAGCGGTCCACGATCGCATGGCAGACCGATTTCGGTACACCAAAGTATGTGCTCATATCCAAGTATGTCATACCTGTGGCGAGGTATTTATTGGGGATGAGTACACACAAGCTAAGCGGTACGCCGTGCATTAGCACTAGTCTGTCAAAGTCCGAGGCTAAACCCTCCTCCAAGTGGGCGAGTATGTCTTTGTCGATTCGGAAGAGCTCGACGAATTCACGGTCGTCCATGGTGTCGATGTGATCGACCCACCATGCTACCCTGGCGGCTCGTGCAAGCTTGTTGCGTCTGATAACATTGCGGCGGCTCTCCGCACGATGCAACGCGGACTCCGTGGCGATGGTGTCCAGAGCCTCTACAGCTAACTGCACGAGAATTGTGTCTGTCGCGTCGTCATCCATATCTCTCCATTGGAGGAAACCGGCTACGGCGGCTATAGCAGTTTCAAGTGTACTAGCCATGGTTGCTGTCGTGATAGAGGGAGGTGTCAGAAACCCAGCCACTAACCACTGGGTTAAAAGGGCTTGTTGAATAGCGGGTAAGTGCGCCCATAGCCCCCCAGGCTCTGCACCTGTGGCCCTTCCCCGAGGATCTCAAGGGCAACCCCAGCGGGTCACTCAACACCCCCCCCCCCGCTGGGATAGGTGGAAGACACGAGCGCCTCTGCAGCGCTGGCACTGGGAGTTGAACCCAAGACCTTTGGCTCTGATACCATGTCAGAAACCCAGCCACTAACCACTGGGTTAAAGGGCTTGTTGAATAGCGGGTAAGTGCGCCCATAGCCCCCCAGGCTCTGCACCTGTGGCCCTTCCCCGAGGATCTCAAGGGCAACCCCAGCGGGTCACTCAACAGGAGGATCGTAAATGCGTCTTGATAGCGGCGGAACACAGTATGTATATTCTGGAGAACGGACTGCTTGGATGGGTTGTCCATCGTGGGTTTGGGCTGGGGAGCGCGATGCATGTTCACGTTGCGGGTCTCCTGTGTGCTGGGCAGGTGAAAAACGTTTCTGTGGGTTGATTGTGGTCACGATTGACGAGCATGTTCGGCAATCACTGCAAGAACCACTTGTCGTGCACGGTCGCCGCCGTTGCTTGGGTTTCGTCGCACGGATTCTGGCTGGTAGGGGCTGGTAGGCCAAAGTTCGAAGCGCACGGCCAAACATTGCAATGTGCAATGCCGACATGGCGAGTCGGTTGGCAAAACTTCGAAGTTCGGCAAAACTTCAGAATGCAATCTAAGATATATATAAGTTGACAATCAGAACCGTGGTACAAACAATTTTGGTAGGTTGCAGGCGATCAGAACCGCGGTACAGAGTGGTGACGGTAAGAACTTTCGACAAAATTGTAAAAACTCACGCCCTTAGGGCGGCGCGGCCTTCATAGTCCACTTGCAAGGAATCGGAGTTCCTCCCCATATCCGCCAAAACGCAGGAGGACCCGCTTCCGCAATAAGACCCGTCCCATGGTCCTTGTTACTACCAGCGAACGAGTCGTTTACACAGGGGAATACAGTCTGCTGGAGAAATCACAAGAATCACTATGGTGAAATTCCACTAATCTTCATCATCCTGCAAGCTCCTGATAATCTCGAGCTCCTCCTCCAGAGGCACCATGCGATTCAGAGAGGCTTGCACTGTGGCATCCAACTGCCGGGCTACTCTCTCCTGCTTTCCACCTATGAATTCCTTTCTCACAGTTTCTAGCTCAACTAGAAGATGGCTCATGCTGGGGCGATTTGATGTGAGCTTCGCAACAGATGAAAGAGACAGCTCCACTAACTTGGAGGCCATGGCTTCTGGTGCATTGAGATCCGCATCGAGAACTGACGAGCTATTCCCACTCGCAGCCTGCTGCTCCACCTGCCGAGTGTGGGACCATAAAAGCCATGGGCAAGGAATGGACGGTAGCAAGAAGGTCAACAGCCATGGGGGATGCGGACGGTGGTTGCAAGAAATGCTAAGCAGCAGCAGGAAGAGGAGCAGCAACGGCAAGACTCGCAGCAACAAGAGCAGCAGCATACCCAGTCCTTGATGTTGGTCTGAGATCCATCGTCACACGGCATCACCACGTGCTTGCCCGAGAGCAGCTCCATCATAAGCACTCCAAAGCTGGGGTGAAGGGTGGGGGAGAGATGGAGGGGGAAAGGGGGGTAGGGACGAGGTTAGGGGAGGGGCGAGAGAGGAAAAAGAGTGGGGGGAAGGCAAAACAAATTGAGAGAGATGTGCGCAGAGGAGGGAGGAGAACATGAAAAGAGGGACCCAGCGGCCAGACGAGGGCACTCAAGTAAGACGAGGGCAGGCAGTTGGGCAATCGGGCAGTTGGGTAGCTGGACACCTGGGCGGCTGGGAGGTCGGGCGGTCGGGTGGGTGGGCAGGCGGGCAAGTGGGCAGCTATGTTGGAATAAGCACGGTTTGCGGTTAAAAACCAGGGTCTAGTATTTCCTGGATCTCCCGCACGTGTGAAATGTGCTATCGCTGGATTGCCCAGCGAGAAGCCCAAGTACCCGCACCCCCCAAAACCCGCACCCCCCAAAACCCGCACCCCCCAAAACCCGCGACCCCGAAAACCCGCGCCCCTGAAAAACCCGCGCCCCTGAAAAACCCGCGCCCCCCGGAAAACCCGCGCCCCCCCTGAATGCAATGCGCACCAGAGGAGGGGGTCAGGTACGCACAGAATGCCGTGGCCCGGGCAGGGGAAAAACTTTATCGGGCAGGCGGATTTTGGGGTTAAGAGGCGGGGTTGGGGGAGGTGCAAAGCACCTGGAACCCCCTTCCCCTTCTTATTAATAAGCAAGGCCATTTTTGCGGGCAAGCTAGTTAGGTGGGAAGGGAACTGCGAAAATAAGTATCGGATGTTGAATTGGGAGTTATTTATGCTTGGAGAGCTGACTCTGTTTGAGGCCAACTCATCTCAAGGAGGAGTTGGAAGGGATCGGGAAGTGACGGGGTGGAGAGGGGTGAACAGAGATTAAACAGGGGGGCTGGTGCGCTGTAGTTTTGAAATTCAAACTCAATGATGAGTTCGCGATCTGCAATGTCGCAAAGTGTCGTGAGAAATTTGGGGGGTTCAGCATAACTACACCAAAAACGCTGCGTACGTATTTTCAATGTGTTTAAATGCAATACGTAATCAAACTTGAGCGTTTCTCCAACTTGGCCGACGACTGCTGGCGACTGTTGCGGGCCGCTGCTGGCCGCAGCTGGCCCCTGCTAGCGACAGCTGGCCGCAGATGGCCGCTGCTGGCCACTGATAGCCACTGCCGGGCAGTTGGGCAGTTGGGCGCTAGTGAGATGAGGGTGCTCTCTCTAGTGAGATGAAGGGACTTCTAGTAGCACTATGATGGCACGTTACTGCGTGACCACCGCACACATACACACGTGGGTGCGCGTACACACTTTCCCACCTGTACACGTCAGCAGTAGGAGTGGCCTTGCGGGTGAGGGAGTAAGTGGGGTCGACGTAGCCCGGTGTGCCCATGACTCGAGTGGACTGCACTGTTGAGCTTCCCTCGCCCATCCTCAGCAACCCAAAGTCTGACAATTTCGCCTGGAGAAGCCAACAGGTCAGGGAAGCGCAGAGCGGAGTGATAGTAGGAAGAGGGGCTTGCTTCGAAGAGACGGCGTGGAGAGCAGATGGCTGGCCCATGGAGAGTGACATGGAATGACTGCAAGCTCTCGCAATGTTACAGAGTGTTACCTACGGCTATAGAGTCACATGGAGGTGTTTTTTGCGTGGAATAAGGCTGCTCGAAAGTACCTGCATGTTGGCGTCCAGCAGGATGTTGGCCGGCTTGATGTCGCGATGCACAATGCCAAAGCTGTGCAGGTACTCCAGGCCGCGAGCCACCCCTATCAGAATGTCCAGCCGCTGCTGCAGGGTCAGGGGGGACACATCCCCTAGCGAACAGAACAAAAGGGCAAGGAAAGGGGGTAAGAAGAAAGAAAGATTAAGGGAGATAAGACGCGTGGGCCGACATTGAGAGGAGCAGGAGCAGGAAGGGAAGGAGGATCAGGCAAGCGTGCCGTCTCTTCACAAGCGAGCCCCACACTCTAGTCTCCCAGACAATCGCTGTGACCATCAGCTGTGCCTCTCTGACCCTTCCCATTCTCCCTCCCTCCCCCCCCCCACCTGGAGGCACGCATCCCCTCCCCCTCCCACAGCATTCTCTTCCCCTCCTCCATCCACCCCCTTCTCGCTCTCGCTTTCACTCCCACTCCTCCCCCTGCAGCCCCCCCTTCTCCGCCACCTGTCTCCTGGGCGCGCATGTGGTGGTGGAGGTCGCCATTGGGCATGAGCTCGTACACGGCGATCTGCTCCAGGCGCTGAGCCGCCGCGTCGTAGTCCTGGCAGAACCCCAGCAGCCGCACCAGGTTGGGGTGGTGCTTCGACGCCATCTCGTTGATCTGAGTACGAGGGTGAGGGAGGAGAGTGTTAGGGGGGGGGATATGTGTGGGAGGGTGGGGAGACATGAGAAGGATGGAAGCACAGGGGTGGTGAGCAGTGCTTAATCAAAGCTCCTGACTCTCTCTCTCCCCAATTTCCCAGCCACCTAAGGGCGTGGTGCTTACAGTACCCGAATTCGAAACTTTTGCCTGGAAGAGTCTTGGCGAAGCCCTATCGAAATGTGCTGCGAACTGTGTATCCAGCCAGGATTCCGGCTTTTGCCCGAAACCGGAACTGTAAGCACCACGCCGTAAGAGCCTGTTGACCTTGCTCTGGAACCGCTGGGTGAACACTCCTCGTCAGCTTGTACTACCCCAACATCCTTCCCTGCCTCCTGGACCCACAGGTGGACCCACAGGTGGACCCACATCATCATCTCCCCCTGTATCGTAATACACTTAACCGGACACTCACCTCCTTACACACCCTGTTTAACCTGACACATCACTTCCTCCCCCTCCCCTCCTCCCCCCCCCTGCTCCCTTTCCATTACCATCCACACTGCTCAGTATCGCCCATCTCCAAATCACCTCTCGTCGAATTCGTTAGCAAGCCATGTGCATCAGATCCAATCCGCAAGTCATCACTGCACAACTCACCTCTCTCTGAAAGTCGTTAGTGAGCACTTTGGCCCGCTTCACGGCCCACAGCGTGGAGCCGTCGAGGGGGCTCACACCGCGGTACACATCCCCAAACCCGCCACTGCCGATGCGGCTCTCCTCCGCCCACCCGTTGGTCGCCCGCACCACCTCCCCCACACTCAGCTGCTGGCACAGCAGCGGCGCCAGGGGGAGGGCGGAGGAGGAGGGAGCGGCGACAGGAGGCGGCGGTTGAGGAAGAGAGGAATGAGCAGGTGATATGGGAGAAAGATCACGCTCGTAAAGACGTGCCCAGGAGTCCTGCTGTGCGTCTTCGTTTTGGCTTGCCGTAGTGCCACTCCCTCCATGCACCTCCCGTTCCTGCTCTTCCCCCTCCTCTTCCTCCATCTTCCTCACTGCTTTCGCCACGTCATCCCTCACAATCTCCAGCTCAGCAAGGATTCTCCCTAGCGAGGGCCGGGAGGAAGCAGGCATGGCGGTGCATGCAAGCCCGGCACGAGCCAGCCGCACTATACTAGGTACAAGAGCATTCGGTATAGGAACGCTCACTGTAGCATTAGCAGTGCTGTCAACTGATGTGCCGGCAGTGCTGCTGCTGATGATGCTGGCAAGCGTGGTGGTCGTGCTGCTGCTGGGGATGCTGGAGATGGTGCTGGTGGCGCGTCGGCAGAGGGAGGAGGCGAGGGAGGGATCAACCATAGCAGCCAAGTTGTTGGCTTGAAGCTGCAGTTCAATCTGGCGTGGAGTAAAGGGGAGGTGAACAGGAAACGGAGTGAGTGACTGCAAGGTGCTGACACCAAACCCGAAACACACACTCTCACAAGCACTTGCGCAACACTTGCATGCAAGTGCGCACTCACGGTGTCTCTGAAGGTTTTTGAGTCGACTCAAAAGCACTAGCATGCAAGTGCGCACTCACGGTGTCTCTGAAGGTTTGTGCCGTGGTCTGCCGTGGAGTGACGGAGCGGCGCCCCGACACCAGCTCCAGCAGCACCACCCCCAGACTGGTGGGGGCGGTTGAGATGGGTGGGCGGAGGAGGAAGGGGAAGGCGGGCGGTAGGGGCAATGTGGGGGGTTGAAGGGTATCACAGCAAGTAGAGAGAGAGAGCAGAGAATGACGTCATAGCAGCGAACTAGACTCCATGTGCGTGCATCATCAATGCAGCATCATCAGTGTTCACAAGATCCGCATACAGCGACACTGTGATTGAAAAGAAATGTTGCAGCTTGAAACTTGTTTCATTGCTTTGAACTGCGCTCAGCAGCGACTCGCGCAGCAGCATGGTGCTGTAACATGATGCAGGAGGCAGAGGAAGAAGAGGGGTGCACCTGTAGAGGTCATTGGTGGCGGTGGGCTCTTTGCTCTGTAGCAGGTGCGGGTCCACGTACCCCCGCACGCCTGTGAATGGCACTGGGTGCTCGCCACCACTCACTGCGTCGCTGCTCGTCACCGAGTCAAACCCTGCGATCTTCGGCTGGCGTCACGTTGCATGGTGCAGAGCGGTGCAGTGAGGTGCAGTGTGGAACCGCACGGTGTGGGCGGAAGGGGAAGAGAATGTTTCTCCAGCATCTATGCTACATGGCAACCCAATGACTACGTGCATGCCACTCCATGATATTTAGATGCATGCATGTGTCGCGTCCCTCGACTCCCCCCCACTCACGTGCAAGCGAGCATCCAGTAGGATGTTAGCGGGGTTGAGCCCGCGGTGCACAATGCCGAAGCTATTTAAATATTCTAGGCCACGAGCCACGCCTATCAGAATGTCCAGCCGCTGCCGCAGGGTCAGAGGCGTGCCGGTGCAACCTGCCAGGAGAAAGTCAAAGTTGTAAAGTGAATGTTGCAATTCCGAGGCAACACGATAGACGCCAGTCTGGCAGAAGCGAGAAAACAAACAAAAGCGGAAGAAACTGCAGATGAAGAGCCATTTGGCAGGACAGAAGGGCAGAAAGGAAGCAGGCAGCAGGACAGCTACAGGTTTCCCATGATCACGTTACTTGTGGCCAAATGGGATCACACAGAATGACCTGTGTGTCTCAGTCTCACCCGGGCCGAACTTGTCTGCGATGCTGCCACCTGTCATGAACTCATACACCGCCACCTGCTCCCTGCGCCCCTCCTCGTTGCGCTCGTCGCAGTACCCCAGCAGCCGCACCAGGTGCGGGTGGTTCTTGTGCCCCATCTCCGCCACCTGGGGTAAAGGAAAAAGGAGGAGGGGATGGGGGAGAGACGCGCAGTGTTTTCTTCAGATCTTTCATTTCTGCCCGGCTTGGCTCTAGAGCACTCGCATGCCGCCCAACTCAGGCACCTGCGTTTGGTTCCTACAAGCCTCCATTAAGACCACAGGTTGGGGTGGATTGTGCGGGCTATCCCAGACGCCTCGTGGACGTGGAGAGAGATTAGTGGTGCTCTCACGGGGTCATGCATGAATGTGTGGGGTGGCTTTGTGGGCTGGTGGTGGTTGCGCTACAACCAATCACCTAAACAACTCCGTTAACGAGGCTGCTTTATACCTCAGCCCTGCTCCTCTCTCATCCTTTTCACCTCCGCCTCTCACTCTTCCCTCTCTCCTCCCCACCACCCCATCCTTTCCTTTCCCTCCCCCCCCCACCCCCCCCGGCCCACTCACCTCAGCCTGGAACTCGTCAGTGGCGCACAGGCGGCGCTTGAGGAGCCAGGGGGTGACGCCATCCCGCGGGTCCACGCCCTTGAACAGCTCGCTGTAGCTGCCCCTCATCAGGTGCAAGTGCGCTGCCCAGTGCTCCGTTGCGGTCACCACGTCCGCCAGGGAGAACCGCACACACGCGCCCTGGATGGGGGAGGCTGAGAGGGGGGAAGCAAGGTGTGGGGGGGGGGAGGAGGGGAGAGATGTTGCGGAGGAAAGGGAGAGGGAGCAACACGGAAGGATTGGGAGGTAGGGAGGAGGGAATACGCGAAAAGGAAGAGGAGGAAAGGTCGAAATGGGATTTAATGAAACGAGCAGGGAGAGTGTGAGAAGTGAGGGCGTGCGGCGTGCGGAACAGGCGTCAGAGGCATCGCGAATGTCTGAGACGTCTCAATCAAGCGTGGCTTGCCTGTCGCTGCGTCCGCCTGCTTGGCCTTGCCCGCTGGCTTCGCCTTGTCCGCTTTCTTGGGCTTGTCCGCTTTCTTGGGCTTGTCCGACCTGCCACGCATCTTCCTCGCCCACATCAGCGCACTGCCACTGACCGCCACCCACATCGAGACGCGCGCACTGATAGCGCCACGTCACACACACGTGAACACGTCAGCACTGTCGCTGTCTCGAAGCAAACCAGTAACCGAACACCTCTCGTCCAATCATGCCTTTGCGCGTAGCAGTCCAGAGGGGAGCCGGAACTAGAAACGATAACCTCCACAGGATTTCTCCGAGAACGTCCATGCTCGTTCAAGACACGGTATTTTTTTCGACACCATTTCACGGCAAACCTTGCCCGACTACGGCAGTGGCATGATGACGTCGTGCTTCCTTGAAGAGTACCTGAAATACACTGGCTTCCTGTCTGCTGATTTCCGGTCATGTATTGGCTCGCAAAATCTACTGAGAAATTAGGGTCAAGTTCACTCCTACGCGGCTTAGTAAGGTTCTTTGCGTTCCAGAGCGTTTCAAAACACTAACAGAGCGGTACTTGAGGGGAAGCGAACACTTAGGGAGTGTCTTGAACACGTGGATGGTATGGTTCCTTTGGTCAGATAGGGTATCTCAGGGCGTGTCACTAAAGTACGTTAGATTGCGGTTCGCAAAGTTTTTTTGCGTTCTAAAACGGTAAAATAAAATTAGTATGGTATTTTGCCAAACGATTTTTGTGACACGCCCATAACTGTACTAAATGCGTCCTCTTCGGCCACATCTTTATGACACAACTAACTGTACAAAGTGACTTGTGTCCAGCCAACAGGCCCAGCGCCCTGTGATTCCGGGCATTTCAATTCCGCTCCCTGCAACCAGCCGTACCGTCCTCCCCTTGTCTAGAACCACTTTCCACACCTTTAAAGAGCTGTTCTGTACACCTTCCCTGTTAGCAAACACCGCCGACTTCATACATACCGTCCTCTCTCCTTTCTTCCCCCTGCAAGCGAAATGCTCGAAACACACACCAACATACAAATGGGAAACAGCCCCCTGAAGGCTGCTTGCTCATTCACCCCATCCAGCCTTCGTCGGTGGGGAGACGACGGGTGCACGCCTTGCCTTGCCGTTCCCTTGTCATCGGCAAGGCGGGTACGAGGTGTTTCCGAAGAGACTAGTTTATTCGCGGCGTCAACCTGCAGTGCGTTCAGCTACGCCCGGACTTGCTCTGCGCAGACAGCCTTGTTCATCAGAACAAGGTCTGCGAGTCCCGATTTTTTTAATCTACTGAGATGAGAGACCGGAATCGTGAATGCCGGAACATTTAAGTTATTTTGCGTGACGCGCACCCGTGGCATAGCAGCAAGGCCAATCATCGATGCATCTGGGATTACTTGGTCAGCCGACCGGCCGACGCTGTTTCAGTCTGAGTTAGAGCTCTCCTCGTTTTCTCACGCTTGTGTTGAAAGGTCGCCGTTATTTCGCCTTTGAGTTGAGGATTCGTCGTTTCTTCACTGCAAGGAACCCGCGGAACTGGAGCCTTGGTGATTTGGGTATTCACTTGAGAGGTCGATTCTCCGTTGTTATCTTCTTACGAGGATCAGCGTTGCTTCACTCTGAGTCAGAAGCTCGTCGTTCGTCCACTTTAAGTTACTTTACAACGAAAAGGAACCCGCGGAGTCTCCTCTCTTCCCGTTCCCGTACGCCTCGCGTTTCCGCCTACTCGCTTCGCGAGATGCTCGTCATGCGATCGGCGCGCTCGTCGTCGCCAGCCGTTCTCGCATGGCCGCTGCTGGTCGCAGCTGTGGTCGTCGCAGGAATCGCTGGGCGACAGCCGAGCGTGCTGGTGGTCGCAGAACCGATGATTGATCCGTCGCAAGGTGCGGTAATAGCCCAGACGACTCAATTTCACGACAATGTCCTGCCTTCTGCCGTCCTCTCTTCCCACGCCTATCCTCGTTACATTCCTCCATTGGTATTTCCCTTCCCAATGTCATTCTCTCCTCACCTCCTCCCCCGAATTCCTCTCACCCCCCCCTCTCCCCCCCACACCCTCCCCCTCCCTCCTTCCCGCCTCCGCCATTCCCCCAGCGCCTGCGCTGGCGGCGCTGATGGCGGCATGGAACCTGACGGGGTACGCGGAGTGGCCGGGGGGGGATTGCGCCCTGGCGGACGCCATTGAGTGCGACGCAGCGGGGAGAGTCACCACCATGTGAGGGGGAGAGGCGGAGGGGATGGGGGGAAAAGGGGTGAGCACAGGATGGATGTGGGGATACCTGGGGAGGAGAGGGCACTGAGGGGTTGCAGTCCCTTTCATTCGCCTGGTATATCTGCTGGAAGCGAGAGTCGGCTAAGGTTGTGACTTACTTCTTGTGTGCATTCGTTTCGACCGTGTGTCAGATACCTGGCATGGAGCCAGCTCACAGGGCCCATACCGCCTGCTATCGGTTCTCTCACTGCCCTCCGGCACCTGTAAGCTCCTGCTGCTAGTGAAGAATTCTGTGAAGTGATAAGAAAAGAACCTCTCGTGCAATGTTTGCAGAGCGGATCAGGAACTAAGGGATATGGCATCTTGCTGTTTTCTTACTACCTTTTCTTCTCCCCTCCCCCCCTTCCTCCAGTGATCTCAGCTCGAACTTTCTCTCTGGCTCTCTTCCCTCCTCCATCGGCAACCTTACAGACCTCACTTACCTGTGAGCAAGCACCAGCCTGTACTGGTCTGCGCCTCTGCTCTGCACTCCATGCCATGCCATGCAATGCCACTCGAAGCCGCATCCTCAACTCGAGTTAATATAGTGACAGCGGCCACTAATTTCTTTCTGTCCTGCCCCTCTCTCACCCGTGTCCCCCCAGCGACCTCGCCTCTGACTTCCCCCTGAACGAGGAGGCAGCGTTCAACGGCAATCAGTTTTCAGGGCCCATCCCCGCCTCCCTGGGCAACCTCATCAGCCTCCAATATCTGTGAGCCATAGGAGCTGGTCTGGCCCCTGCACTTGTGCCTGGGCCGCGTTTCGCACCATTTCGGTCATCTCTCTTGTGCTTTTCTAGCAGCCAACCTCAACCGTTCGTGAACGCCGCCTGCCCCATTTTCTATCTTTTGTGTCGCATATCTCTTCATCTCTCCAGACACCTGGTGCTTCCTTTTCTCTTCTCCAGTCTCCTCTCGTCCTCCCTTCCCTCTCCTCCTCTCCTCCGCCCCCCATCTCCCCTCCTCGCTCTCTCCCCTCGCCAGCAATCTGAGCAGCAACTGGTTCACAGGACCCGTGCCTGCAGGCATTGGCGCGCTCACCAACCTCAAGTTTCTGTACGCCACCCTCTTCTCCAGACATTGCTTCCATGCGCGCTCGTCTGTGTGTGAGTGTTGCGCTACATCATCTGAATACTGACCGCCGATCCTTGCAACTCGTGCCTGACACTACACTAGTCACGGTGAAACTCCCATTTAGCATGCGTGTGTCTGTGCGTGCGTGCGTGGGTGCGTGTGTGTGTGTGTGTGTGTGTGTGTGTGTGTTGTCACAGCATGCTTCACTGATTGACCCTGTGCTTCCATGCCCCACGTGCCTCTTTCATCCATGCTCCCATGCGGCATGCCATCATCAGATCTCTCTTCAACAACTCCCTCTCTGGCGCCCTCCCTTCCTCAGTCGGCGCTCTCGACTCCCTCACCTACTTGTACGTCTTTTCCCTTCCCCTCTCTCTCCTCCCAACTACCACCTCTGCCTCACGTTCCTCTCCATCCGGCTTATCTGGGAAAAATCTGTCGTATTCCTCACTAGTTGTGAAACACCTCTCTGTAGCGCTCCTCGCTTCCCCTCCACTCTCAGCCTACCCTTGTCACATCTTCATCTTCCCTTCCACAGTGACGTCAGCTCTGACCTCAGCGTGAAGGGCAAGGCCAATCAGCTGTCAGGCCCCATTCCACCTGAGATTGGAGGCATGACCCGTCTCTCATACCTGTGCGTGCGTTTCCCTGCACCTCGCTGCATCTTTCTGCATGGCGCTGCATCTCTCTGCATCTCTCTGCATCTTGCTGCATGTTGTTGTTGCTGTTGTTGTGTTTCCTCACGCCGGATTTTCTGTCTCTGTAGGTGTCCCTTCAACATCTGCGCGAGGTGCTGTTGTGAAGCACCTCCTGTGGGCTTAGCAAGGCACCTCTCTGTCTTCATAGATTATGAATGTCGGAAGAGGCATCTGCCATGGTTCACTGATGCTTGCTCTCTCCTCCCATTACCGCGCTACAGCAACTTGAGTGGCAACGCTCTTTCTGGCTCGCTCCCGACCAACATCAGCAAGCTCTTCTTTTGTGAATCTCTGTGCGCCTTCTCTCCTCTTCACCTTTCCAAAATCCCAACCTGGCAACGTCAGAACCATGTTCGCCTCGCCTCCTACTTCGCCTCGTTTTCACTCATTTCCCCTGTGTTCTTCTCACTTACTGATTCATGGAAAAGTTAGCTAGCTGCACTGTCTTTTGGGTGTGTTGTGTGGCAGGGACCTGAGCCACAACCAGGTGAATGGTTCTCTCATCTATGACCTGGGCTTCCTCAACGCCCTCACCCACCTGTGCGTGCTCTCCGCACTGCCCATGCTGTGTGTAGTGTGTGCGCCGTGCGTGCCACGTGTGTGTGGTGTGTACGCTGCATGCGCTCACGCCATGCCAATCTCCCGTGCGTCGTCCACCCGTATTCACATGCCACATGTGATCCACGCGCTGTGCACCCACCACCATCCGTGCAATCTCCCCTCCACCTGCAAAGAAACTGCCTCCTCTTTCCTCTATCTATCCTTTCTCCCTTCACCACCTCACTCCCCTCTCCCCTCTTCCCCCTCTGCCGCTCGTTCTCATCGTCACCTCTCGCAGGTCCCTGCAGTCCAACCAGCTCACTGGAACCATCCCTGACACCTTGGGCTACCTCTTCCGACTATCCTACCTGTCAGTTCCAACGCAACCCCTTTGAAACACTACTGCAAGACCTTTCCAACCGTTCCTGTCCTTTCCTCTCTGAGGTGTGCCTCCCTCTACATGCCAGCCCTCCCTCACCTTTCCACCCTTCCCGCACTCCCCTCTGGCAATTTATCTCAAGCGTCTCCACTCTCTCTCTCTCCTCTCTTTCCTCCCCCTCTCTCTCTCCAGTGACCTGAGATACAACGCGCTCACAGGGCCTATCCCTGCAACCTTTGGTCAAATGATGGACCTTATTGAGCTGTGAGTTTGATGAGTGCTGTTGCTCGCATGGGTCAGATGTGTTGCTTCATGACCGCACCTGGAGGGACATGAAGGAGGGCGGTCACAGCATCCACACTCTGTGCAGCAGCCAAAGCCATCTCTTTAACCTCTCCTCTGGCCAGCCCTTCCTTCGGACTTGTTCCCCCTTCCTCACTTTCCAGGTGTGTCGTACTTTCCAGGTGTGTCGTACTTTCCAGGTGTGTGGTACTTTCCACGTGTGTCTTTACGATTACATCTACGTATGCCTGCCTAGATTGTGTTTATATTTGCGGGCAAGTAAAAGCTTCTTAGGCTGTTCTGGGTACACACTATTGTGCAGGAGGTTATAGCAGTCTGTAGAACCTTTGAAATTGCCGCCTGCTTGTTTGCCAATTTACCGTCTACAATTTATTGCTACCGTCTCCCATCTACCATGTTCCGTGTACCGTCTTGTGTCTTCCATCCTTTTGGCAATGAGGCTGTCACACAGACCCTTGTTAATCCCTTGTGTCCTGGTGTCCTAGTAGGCAAAAAAAAACCACCTGAAGAGAGAGGTATAGGGTTCAAATCTCCCCACCACCTATCGCAATAGAGAGCGCCCACCGCCCACCGCCCACCGCCCACCGCCCACCGCCCACCGCCCACCGCCCACCGCCCACAGCCCACAGCCCACAGCCCACCGCCCACCGCCCACAGCCCACAGCCCACCGCCCACAGCCCACCGCCCACCGCCCACCGCCCCACCGCCCACCGCCCACCGCCCACCGCCCACCGCCCCACCGCCCACCGCCCACCGCCCACCGCCCACCGCCCACCGCCCACCGCCCACCGCCCACCGCCCACCGCCCACCGCCCACCGCCCCACCGCCCACCGCCCACCGCCCACCGCCCACCGCCCACCGCCCACCGCCCACCGCCCACCGCCCACCGCCCACCGCCCACCGCCCACCGCCCACCGCCCACCGCCCACCGCCCACCGCCCACCGCCCACCGCCCACCGCCCACCGCCCACCGCCCACCGCCCACCGCCCACCGCCCACCGCCCACCGCCACCGCCCACCGCCCACCGCCCACCGCCCACCGCCCACCGCCCACCGCCCACCGCCCACCGCCCACCGCCCACCGCCCACCGCCCACCGCCCACCGCCCACCGCCCACCGCCCACCGCCCACCGCCCACCGCCACCGCCCACCGCCCACCGCCCACCGCCCACCGCCCACCGCCCACCGCCCACCGCCCACCGCCCACCGCCCACCGCCCACCGCCCACCGCCCACCGCCCACCGCCCACCGCCCACCGCCCACCGCCCACCGCCCACCGCCCACCGCCCACCGCCCACCGCCCACCGCCCACCGCCCACCGCCACCGCCCACCGCCCACCGCCCACCGCCCACCGCCCACCGCCCACCGCCCACCGCCACCGCCCACCGCCCACCGCCCACCGCCCACCCCCCCCCCCCCCCCCCCCCCACCGCCCACCGCCAACCGCCCACCGCCCACCGCCCACAGTGTTATGCACTCTGTGTGTCGTACTTTCAGGTTTGTCGCACTTTCCAGGCGCGTCGTCTTTCTCTCCTTCCATCCCTAACTGCTGAATCTGAGCCTTCCCTTTCCAACCTGTTGGTGCTGCCTCCCGCACTCGTTCCCCTTTGCTCAATCCAAGCCCTCCCTTCCCCAACCCCTTCCTCTCCTCCTGGCGCCACCCCCAACCAGGCAAGTGGATCCACCAGCAGCGACGTGCCCTGGTGGGTTGGGCAGCAGCTGCGTGGTTTGGCAGAGCGGCCTCTCTGCCTTCTGCTCGGTCTGTGCTCAGTTCTGCAGCGAGTGCAACCCTGCTGGTGAGGAGTGATTGGTGCAAGCTGCCGGGCTGGTGGTCATGTACTGGGGTTCATGGATGATGGATGGTGCTGTGTGGGAAGCAACCCACATACTATGCATTGTTGCACGTGCATGCTCTTACACGCACTTGTGCATGTTGATGTGTCGCGTCACTGCTCTTGCCTGAACCCCTTGCCCGCCTACACCTATTGTGAGTTCTTTCCTTTCTCAATGTCTTGCTCTCTGCAGGAGTGAGTGCACCCCCACCAGTCGTCTTCCCTCCACTCGAAGCCCCTGCTTCCGGTCCAACCCTGGGCATGCCCCCGTTTGCTCTTCCCCCTGCCTTCCCGCCGCTTCTCCCCCCACTCCTGTCTCCTGAAGCAGCTCCCCCTCTCTTCACACCTCCCCCTCTCCCACCGCCACTGCCCCAGCCTGCTCCTGCTCCTGCTCCTGCTCCTGCTACGCCCCTCCCTCCCCTGCCTCCTGCTCTCACTTCACCACCTCCACCATTACCCTCAGCTCTCCCACCCCCTCCTCCTCCTGCTCCTCCTCCTGCTCCTCCTCCTGCACCTTCTCCTGTTGCTGCCCCTGCACCCTCACCCACGCCTTCCCCCTCCCCTTCTCCCTCCCCTTCACTATCACCATCACCATCACCATCCCCATCGCCATCCCCATCCCCCCAAGCATCGCCCAATGTTGCTCCAGCCCCATCCACCTCCACCCCATCCCCGTCATCCCAACCAGCACCATCCCCATCACCCTCGTCGGCACAACCCCCTTTCTCTCCTCCCTCTCCTCCTCCCGCTCCTGTCTCTGCACCTAGTCCACCCTCTGCTTCGCCATCTCCCTCTTCTCTTTCCACCAGCAAGCCAGGCAGCCATTTGGGCCCGTGTTTTGTGCCTCTGCTGGCGTGGGTGCTTGTGGCTCTTATTCAGGGTTAAGTTATTGGCAAACAATGGTTCGTTATGTACAACACACATGGACATGTTTCTCTTTGCCCTACCTCAAACGTCCTGTTTGAGTTATCTTGATTGTGGGTTGTAACATTGCCCCAACGTGTGCTGCTTTCTTCATTGTTTGTTCATACACTTGCTTCTATTCAATTGTAGGATGGAGGAGTACTTTTTGGGACGCTACTAGAAGTTTAAACCTCAATTTAGAAAACAGATGGGTTACGTACGGTTGAGGTGCTGTAGGCCTCGGATTTGCCTTGTCAGCTACTGATCCCAGAATCCTGGGTCAACCGGGGTCTTCTGCTGTGCCTGATCAGGAAAAGCCGAAAGCGGAACTGGCGAGATTCGGTGTCCTCGATACAGTCAGTACAGGGGAGATCTGCGTGTTGAGAACGACATTTCCAGAGCTGAAACAGATATCCTGTCAAAACTGGTTGGCTAGCCTTCCCAACATGTTGTGAACGACATTTCCAGAGGTGAAAAATGTTGCATTTGACGACATGTTGGCTAGCCTTCCCAACGCCCCACCCCGTGATTCCGCCCATCATGGCGTCGTACTAACGCCTGAGGCGTGTTGACGTCCGGCGGGCCGTAGTCCAACTTGCCACCACGAGAACGCACCGATGGCGGACGCGGCTAGACGACGTTATCTCAGATCCACGCTGCTTCCGTTGCTTCTGCTCCTGCTGTGTAGTAATGGCGATACCGGCTTAGACGGGTGGATCCGAAACCGCAGCAGCAGCAGAGTGGCGGGCATTGCGTGGCCACAGTGGATCCACGTTGTTGCGGCTGAGCCGCGACTGCACAAGTCGCAAGGTGAAGCCACGTGTGCCATGATGACGCGACACCCCGTCATGTACACATCTCACACTCCCATACATCCCGCACTCGCATTAGAATGCCGAGTTCTCGTTCGCTGCGAGTGCTCTGCTTCTAGCCGCCAGAAGAATCAGAGCATACTCCTCGTCCTTCATCCTCGTCTCCCTCCACACCCGCCGCCGCATCCCTCAGACCGCATCCCACGCCTCTCCACGCCTCTCCACGCCTCTCCGTGCCTCTCAAACTCACCACCCCGCAGTGGCGCCTCTGGCGGCGTGCGCGGCGGCATGGGGCGTGACGTTCATGGACCCCTCGGACCCCACGGACTGCGGCATAGCCATCAACATCACATGCGATGCCACAGGCATGGTCGACTGGATGTGAGCCCACCACTACCGCTTCTCCCTTCCTCTCCCTTCCTCTCCCTTCCTCTCCCTTCCTCTCCCTTCCTCTCCTTTCCTCTCCTTTCCTTTCCCTTCCTTTCCCGTTCCTTCCTCCCCTTGCCTTCCCACCATTGCCATGCCGCCCTCGCTCATCCACAGCGTTCCCTCTTCCACACTCTCACTCCTCTCTGTGTGCCCCCACTCAACCCGCCCCTGCTCCTTCACATCAGGGTACTGAACAGCGGCGGCATAGCCGGGCCCATCCCTACCAGCATTGGCGGCCTCATTGCGCTCACCCACCTGTCAGTCACTCCGCCTGCCCTCAACCGCTTTGTCCTTCTATCATGTCTCTCTCTCCACGGTCGCCATCTTCGTCCCATCACAAGCTCATGTGAAGTCCCTTTCTGTGGTCCCCCCCCCCTACGCACTCTCCTACTCACCTGCCTCCCCCCTCCCTCTCAAGTGGCCCGTGTATTGATGCCATTCTGAGTACAAGCTAGGCTTGGTTGGCAAGCACGGTCATACCGCCAAGGTAAGCAACCATCGTGTCTCTCTCTCCCTCTTCCCATCTGCGTCCCCCCTGTTCAATGCCTTCCCTTGTACTCTTACTATGCCCATCCTCCCCCCCTCCCCCCGCGCCCTCCCCACCTCTCCTTGCGTGCAGCGACCTGGACAACAATGCGTTGACCGGCGCCATCCCCCCCACCATCAGCCAGCTCACCAGCCTCCAACATCTGTCAGTTCCCGCCACATAGCGCCCTCCCCTCTGTGTCCGCCCCTCTCATTTCTGTCCCTCCTCTCTACACTCACCCGCTTCCCTCTCCTCTCCCGGCTCGCCCTCGTCCTTCGTTCCCCCTTCCTTCCCTCCCCTTCCTTCCCTCCCCTCCCCTCACCCATCCTCCGTGTGCAGTGATCTGAGCTACAACCAGCTCGCTGGCTCCATCCCCACTGCCATCGACAGCCTGCTCAGCATCACGGAACTGTATGGCAGTCCGGACACACATCTGTCTGCAGACTTCTCAGTCAGAGCCCTCATTTTCCTGTTCCTGGAATCACGAGGATTGCTTGGACTCATGCAGTGCGGTTTGGAAGGAAAGAGAAAGAAGGAAAGGGATGTGTTTCGTTTGTTGTTCCTTTAGTGCGTCCTGTCTGCCACCCGGTTTGTCTCCCCTCCGCAGCAACCTTCGCAACAACAGGCTGAGTGGCAGCATACCGGCAGTCATCGGAAATCTCACCACACTCAATGACATGTGCGCTCCATCCGCTTTTCTCTTTCCGCTTTTCTCTCCCTCGTTACTCTTTTCTCTTTACTCATTGGGAGACCTCTCTTCGCCTTGGCCCAACCAGCAAGAGGTCTCCCATCCGATGCCGCGTGTTTCCTGTTACCATTTCTCCTTTTGACTACCTACTCGTCCTGTCCTGTACGCTACCAGATCCCTCTTTGTGCCATCTCCTTCACCCGACCTTCGCCCTGGCCCTTCACACGTGCCCGTGCCTCTCGCCACGCGCAGCTTCCTGTCGTCCAACCGCCTCAGCGGCTCCATCCCAGCTCAGATTGGCAACCTGCACCGCCTCTCCACCTTGTGAGATGACACGCCTTGCGATCCAGCTGCATGGCGTGAGCGCGCTGTGAGGAGGGCATGTCACCAGGGGCAAGGAGGTGGGATTGGGGGGAAGGGGGAGGGGATGCAGTAGCCTCAAAGGAGTGCCTGCACGAACACTAGTTTTGTCAGCCTTAGCAACCTTTCTTATGCTTCCATTTCCCTCCCTCCCAGGGACATCGTATCCGGCAATCAGCTGTCTGGCATTGCACCGCCTGTCCTCGGAGGCATCCCTCTCGGAGCACTGTGAGCGCAATGCTGCTGCTCCCTCCCTCCCTCCCTCCCTCCCTCGCTCTCTCCCTCCTCCGCTCCCTTGCTTGTCTGCTGCTCTTCGCTGTCCCCTTGTCTTTTGTTTTTGCTTCCCTGTGCCTCTGACCTCCTAACCTTCCGTCTACCCACGCCTTTCCCCGCCTGCACCTCCCCTTATCTCTCTGTGCTGCTCCACTCTACTAACCACCACCTCCATCCTGCTATCTCAGGCCTTCCGCATTGGCCTTGGCCCCTCCCTTCCTTCTTCAATGTCTACGTCCCTGCTCAGGCCGTGCCCACATCCCCCGCTCATCCCCCGCTCATCCCCCGCTCATCCCCCGCTCGTCCCCCGCTCATCCCCCGCTCATCCCCCGCTCGTCCCCCGCTCATCCCCCGCTCATCCCCCGCTCATCCCCCGCTCTCATCCCCCGCTCATCCCCCGCTCATCCCCCGCTCATCCCCCGCTCTCATCCCCGCTCATCCCGCTCATCCCCCGCTCTCATCCCCCGCTCATCCCCGCTCATCCCCCGCTCATCCCCCGCTCATCCCCCGCTCATCCCCCGCTCATCCCCCGCTCATCCCCCGCTCATCCCCCGCTCATCCCCCGCTCATCCCCCGCTCATCCCCCGCTCCCCTCATCCCCCGCTCATCCCCCGCTCATCCCCCGCTCATCCCCCGCTCTCATCCCCCGCTCATCCCCCCGCTCATCCCCCGCTCTCATCCCCCGCTCATCCCCCGCTCTCATCCCCCGCTCATCCCCCCCGCTCATCCCCCGCTCATCCCCCCGCTCATCCCCCGCTTCATCCCCCGCTCATCCCCCGCTCATCCCCCGCTCATCCCCCCGCTCATCCCCCGCTCTCATCCCCCGCTCATCCCCCCGCTCATCCCCGCTCATCCCCCGCTCATCCCCGCTCTCAATCCCCCGCTCATCCCCCGCTCTCATCCCCCGCTCTTCATCCCCCCGCTCATCCCCCGCTTCATCCCCCGCTCTCATCCCCCCCCGCTCATCCCCCCCGCTCATCCCCCCGCTCATCCCCCGCTCATCCCCGCTCATCCCCCGCTCATCCCCGCTCATCCCCCCGCTCATCCCCCGCTCATCCCCCGCTCTCATCCCCCGCTCATCCCCCGCTCATCCCCCGCTCATCCCCCGCTCTCATCCCCCGCTCATCCCCCCGCTCATCCCCCGCTCTCATCCCCCGCTCATCCCCCCGCTCATCCCCCGCTCATCCCCCGCTCATCCCCCGCTCATCCCCCGCTCATCCCCCGCTCATCCCCCGCTCATTCCCCGCTCATTCCCCCGCTCATCCCCCGCTCATCCCCGCTCTCATCCCCCGCTCATCCCCCGCTCATCCCCCGCTCATCCCCCGCTCTCATCCCCCGCTCAATTCCCCCGCTCATCCCCCCGCTCTCATCCCCCGCTCATCCCCCGCTCATCCCCCGCTCATCCCCCCTTCATCCCCCGCTCATCCCCGCTCATCCCCCGCTCATCCCCCGCCTCATCCCCCGCTCATCCCCCGCTCATCCCCCCGCTCTCATCCCCCGCTCATCCCCCGCTCATCCCCCGCTCATCCCCCGCTCTCATCCCCCGCTCATCCCCGCTCATCCCCCGCTCTCATCCCCCGCTCATCCCCCCTTCATCCCCCCTCATCCCCGCTCATCCCCCGCTCATCCCCCGCTCATCCCCCGCTCATCCCCCGCTATCCCGCTCATCCCCCGCTCATCCCCGCTCATCCCCCGCTCTCATCCCCCGCTCATCCCCCGCTCATCCCCCGCTCTCAGCCCCCGCTCATGTCATCCCCCGCTCATCCCCCGCTCATCCCCCGCTCTCATCCCCCGCTCATCCCCCGCTCATCCCCCGCTCATCCCCCGCTCATCCCCCGCTCATCCCCCGCTCATCCCCCGCTCATCCCCCGCTCATCCCCCGCTCTCATCCCCCGCTCATCCCCGCTCATCCCCGCTCATCCCCCGCTCTCATCCCCGCTCATCCCCCGCTCATCCCCCGCTCTCATCCCCCGCTCATCCCCCGCTCATCCCCCGCTCATCCCCGCTCATCCCCCGCTCATCCCCCGCTCATCCCCGCTCATCCCCCGCTCATCCCCCGCTCATCCCCGCTCATCCCCGCTCATCCCCCGCTCTCATCCCCCGCTCATCCCCCGCTCATCCCCCGCTCATCCCCCGCTCTCATCCCCCGCTCATCCCCGCTCATCCCCCGCTCTCATCCCCCGCTCATCCCCCGCTCATCCCCCGCTCATCCCCCGTATCCCCCGCTCATCCCCCGCTCATCCCCCGCTCATCCCCCGCTCATCCCCCGCTCATCCCCCGCTCATCCCCCGCTCATCCCCCGCTCTCATCCCCCGCTCATCCCCGCTCATCCCCCGCTCATCCCCCGCTCTCATCCCCCGCTCATCCCCCGCTCATCCCCCGCTCTCATCCCCGCTCATCCCCCGCTCATCCCCGCTCATCCCCCGCTCATCCCCCGCTCATCCCCCGCTCATCCCCGCTCATCCCCGCTCATCCCCCGCTCATCCCCCGCTCTCATCCCCCGCTCATCCCCCGCTCATCCCCGCTCATCCCCGCTCTCATCCCCGCTCATCCCCCGCTCATCCCCGCTCTCATCCCCCGCTCATCCCCGCTCATCCCCCGCTCATCCCCCGCTCCCCCGCTCATCCCCGCTCATCCCCCGCTCATCCCCGCTCATCCCCGCTCATCCCCCGCTCATCCCCCGCTCATCCCCCGCTCTCATCCCCCGCTCATCCCCCGCTCATCCCCGCTCATCCCCGCTCTCATCCCCCGCTCATCCCCCGCTCATCCCCCGCTCTCATCCCCCGCTCATCCCCGCTCATCCCCCGCTCATCCCCCGCTCATCCCCCGCTCATCCCCGCTCATCCCCCGCTCATCCCCCGCTCATCCCCGCTCATCCCCCGCTCATCCCCCGCTCATCCCCCGCTCTCATCCCCGCTCATCCCCCGCTCATCCCCCGCTCATCCCCCGCTCTCATCCCCCGCTCATCCCCCGCTCATCCCCCGCTCTCATCCCCCGCTCATCCCCGCTCATCCCCCGCTCATCCCCCGCTCATCCCCCGCTCATCCCCCGCTCATCCCCCGCTCATCCCCGCTCATCCCCCGCTCATCCCCCGCTCATCCCCCGCTCATCCCCGCTCATCCCCCGCTCATCCCCCGCTCATCCCCCGCTCTCATCCCCGCTCATCCCCCGCTCATCCCCCGCTCACCCCCGCTCTCATCCCCCGCTCATCCCTTGCTCATCCCCCGCTCTCATCCCCCGCTCATCCCCCGCTCATCCCCCGCTCATCCCCGCTCTCATCCCCCGCTCATCCCCCGCTCATCCCCCGCTCATCCCCCGCTCATCCCCCGCTCATCCCCCGCTCATCCCCCGCTCATCCCCGCTCATCCCCCGCTCATCCCCCGCTCATCCCCCGCTCATCCCCCGCTCATCCCCCGCTCATCCCCCGCTCATCCCCCGCTCATCCCCCGCTCATCCCCGCTCATCCCCCGCTCTCATCCCCCGCTCATCCCCGCTCATCCCCCGCTCATCCCCCGCTCTCATCCCCCGCTCATCCCCGCTCATCCCCCGCTCTCATCCCCCGCTCATCCCCCGCTCATCCCCCGCTCATCCCCCGCTCATCCCCGCTCATCCCCCGCTCATCCCCCGCATCCCCCGCTCATCCCCCGCTCATCCCCCGCTCTCATCCCCCGCTCATCCCCGCTCATCCCCCGCTCATTCCCCCGCTCTCATCCCCGCTCATCCCCGCTCATCCCCCGCTCTCATCCCCCGCTCATCCCCCGCTCATCCCCCGCTCATCCCCGCTCATCCCCGCTCATCCCCCGCTCATCCCCCGCTCATCCCCCGCTCATCCCCCGCTCATCCCCGTCATCCCCGCTCATCCCCCGCTCTCATCCCCGCTCATCCCCCGCTCATCCCCCGCTCATCCCCGCTCTCATCCCCGCTCATCCCCCGCTCATCCCCCGCTCTCATCCCCCGCTCATCCCCCGCTCATCCCCCGCTCATCCCCCGCTCATCCCCGCTCATCCCGCTCATCCCCCGCTCATCCCCGCTCATCCCCGCTCATCCCCCGTCATCCCCGCTCATCCCCGCTCTCATCCCCCGCTCATCCCCGCTCATCCCCGCTCATCCCCGCTCTCATCCCCCGCTCATCCCCCGCTCATCCCCCGCTCTCATCCCCCGCTCATCCCGCTCATCCCCGCTCATCCCCCGCTCATCCCCCGCTCATCCCCCGCTCATCCCCGCTCATCCCCCGCTCATCCCCGCTCATCCCCCGCTCATCCCCCGCTCATCCCCCGCTCATCCCCGCTCATCCCCCGCTCATCCCCCGCTCTCATCCCCGCTCATCCCCCGCTCATCCCCCGCTCATCCCCCGCTCTCATCCCCCGCTCATCCCTTGCTCATCCCCCGCTCTCATCCCCCGCTCATCCCCGTCATCCCGCTCATCCCCCGCTCTCATCCCCGCTCATCCCCCGCTCATCCCCCGCTCATTCCCCCGCTCATCCCCCGCTCATCCCCGCTCATCCCCCGCTCATCCCCGCTCATCCCCCGCTCATCCCCCGCTCATTCCCCCGCTCATCCCCCGCTCTCATCCCCGCTCATCCCCCGCTCATCCCGCTCATCCCCGCTCTCATCCC